TATATTTTATTTGGCCCTCTAAAGTGTAATAATGTCCCATATCTTGAAAACACTGCAGTAAAAAGTTTTCATAAGAGGTATGTATATAGCTATGGGACGTCCCGTTTAAGAGCTGGCCATTGTTTTTTTTCTACTTAGGGTCTTTATAGCCCTCTAAAGTGTAATAATGTCCCATATCTTAAAAATAATGCAGTACAATGGTCTCATGTGAGGTAGGCTATATGGGACGTCCCGTGTGACTGGCCATTGGTTTTCTTTGCTTATTAGAAATGGGGTCTTTATAGCCTTCTAAAGTGTAATAATGTTCCATATCTCCAAAACGCTACAGTAAAATGTTTTCATATGAGGTGTGCATATAATATGGGACATCTTCTTTAAGAACTTGACATTTTTGTACCTTTTCTACTTATTAGAAATTAGGTCTTTATATATATATGAGGTATGTATAGTATGGGACGTCCCATAAAAGAACTGACCTTTTTTAAATACTCTGGAATGAAATAAAGGCTTGTAAACAGAAACTATTTATTTGTTTGTTTGTTTATCAGACTACTTTATAATTGGCGTTCACTTTCTGAGCAGAGGTTAAACCACATTATATAAAAATGCATTCAAGATTAACTGTCATTTTACTGCAGTGCGACAAATATAAACGCAATGCAGATATTTAGAAAGAGTAGGCCTATATACTTTATTTTGTCAGTTTGTCCTGCTGTACACTCATCTACATAAAACAATGATTTGAAAGACAAACTTTAAAGAAAAATAAAGAAAACCATTACTCAAATAAACACACACCTGTCAAAGACGCATAAATAAAACATATAATAAAGCAGAACTTGAAAAAAAAAATCTGGAAACATGACTCTCAATTCTGGGCGTAAATGAACAGCGCCCTGAAAGCGCCGTTCTCTCTGTGTTGCTCCTGAAATTACCGTAATCATTGCAATACGCGCGCTGGCTTGACCGCAGTGCAACGCTGGCCAGAGACGCAAAGAGGAGAAAATACATTAGCAGGCAGAGCAAGCTCACTGTTCACAATGCGTGAAGTATGAATGTATCTCTGAGGGGAACTGACTGTCTTAAAGGAGATATTATGCCCCTTTTTACAATATATAATATAAGTCTCTGGTGTCCCCAGAATGTGTCTGTGAAGTTTCAGCTCAAAATACTCCACAGATCATTTATTATATCATTTTGAAAATGCCTATTTTGAGTGGAAGCAGAAACACGCTGTTTTTCGTGCCTGTCTCTTTAAATGCAAATGAGCTGCTGCTCCCCGCCCCCTTTTCCAGAACAGAGCTGCACCATTACAGCTCGTATCTGCTGAAACATCTGTTTTGGTTCTGATTATCATGTTTATCGCGCTGAAATCATGCGTTTTAAACCATATGAGTTTAAACTTCTGATATACGGTTTTCTGAGCGCACACATCTGAAGCACACGCACAGAAAGCGGCTGTCACAGCATGTGAGCACTAAACTAAGTTCTCATTCACACACAAGTTTACGTTAAAAACACACATGAGTTACAAAGACAGTCGGTTATGTCTGTGAAGGTAAACAGCCGCATGTTTATTTTAGATCTGTGTGGCAGCAGCAATATACAGTAAATAAATCAATAAATCCACTGCTCTGTTGTCTCCTCTGAGGCTGGGGCTCTAAACAGTGTTCTGTGCTCGTCTGTGACACCAAAGACAGAACAGTTAGCATGTTTTGCTCAAACTTTCACCATGGCATTAGAACTAGTACACCGTTGTCGCTTGTGAAAACACAACGGCGCAGTGGGTGTAAACTTACAGATTAAGGGGCAGTAATATTATAATGAGATCCCTTTGCCACGTCACTAGGGGAGCGAAATCAGACGCGCTCGTTTTCTCAGACGCTTGCAGAAAAAGGCTTCCCAAAACAAAGTTACTGGGTTAATCTTTTTCACGTTTCCTTGGTTGGTAGATGCACCGGGGACCTGATTATAGCACTTAAAACCTGGAAAAGTCAGATTTTCATGATATGTCACCTTTAAGAAACAGTTTAGATGGCATTTTCCTGTCATCTTACCTCTGTATAATGCATTGTGTTTACAGCGGTAATCAAGGAAACAAAGCATCAATGCTGTTGCTTTAATGCCACCTGCTGTCAGGGGGTGAATTTGCATTTTCATTCAGACATCATTTGCTATGTGTTATGTAGAGCCTAGTTTCACAAAGCTAAAGTCAGACCACTCTGTTTGCTTCAGGTTTTGAAATTATAGTCTAATTTAGATCACAATATAGGCTAATAAAGCAACTAACCATATTCTTCAAGCACTCATATTTAAATTTTTTCTTGTCTTTTGCTAAAATAAAATACATTAAACCGTATTGGATTCTGCAATGAAAAGTTAAGATCAGTGCATACCTAAATGTATGAAATGAAGAAATTAAGATGTAAATGTTACTATTGTAGCTGCCTTTGGATGATAAAGTTCTCTAATTTAAATAGCTAGCGGAGTTAATGTCAGTTTATTTATCTATTTATTGTGCAACCGTCTTATTTCATATGTAATTTGTTTTATGTCATAAAGCTATGCAGTTTCTGTGTGAATGATCGGTGGTGGAATTGGCTGCAATGCAAGGGGCACCAGCTAAAATCTTGGCTAGGGCACCAAATTGGGCCCCTTGTGCGTCTCTGATCAACACACAGCGGTGATTCATTACTGCATGAATACACGTTTTTGAACGAATCGATTGAGCCAGTGATTCAGTGAGCCATTCATTTGCTTCTTTTCTGAATGAATCAGCCGTTTGAACGAATCGGTTGAATGAATGAATGAATGACAACAGCGCTTTGCCGCCACCTACTGGCGCTTTTTGTAATGTCTATTCAGTTTTTTTCTAATTTAACAAAATAATGACTTTAAATTACCTTTAATAAATCAGCACATGATGTGCCAATTAATGAATCGAATTAATGAGATTAATTCAATTAATCGGCACATCATGTAATTAGATTTAAAAAATCAAAGCCACTATGTTTACCCCAACTAGCAGTTAACCAAGAGGTTATCAGTCTTACTTTTCAAATTAGACAAATCTACCTTTTTATGTAACTGACTTACAGGTAAGTGTGTGTGTGTGCATTTGATGTATGTATGTGTGTATGACACATGAGAGTGAAGGAAATTAGTCCACCTTAGACTCAAACTGATTTTAACCTATTTCCTTAAAAAAGGAGAGATACCCAACTATTGAAAGGGGTTCTTTATTAATCCATAATTCCAATTATGTAATGTTATGGCAAGCTTTTACATCAATGTTGTGGTAAGGGACAGCATGCTGAGACCGGTTTCAACTGTCCCAACACTGACAGCCGTGATCAAACTTATAGTAGCTTGACACAATATCTTTGACAAATACTATACCTATTAGAAGCTAAGAAAACACAGATTAAATTTGTTTTTACAATGCTTCACGCAAATAACTTGGAAACAGTATGACAAAAAAATTAGATAATTAAAAAAAAAAAAAAAAAAATTTTTACCATGAAAATGTTTTTTTTTGTTTTTTGTAGAAGGAATGGTCACATGTGGTTGCTTTCTTCCAGGAAGCATGAGGGGCTAGTTGAGCATGTGCAGTATGAACATCACTATAGCTCATTCCTGACTGAAGAAATAAGCCATGTCGCAACCGTGCCCACTCTCCCCTACCTATAGTCCTTCCAGTGGTCTTAAGCCTATATGATCATTTTAAACATATGCAAAGCATAGATTATAGGAGTACATCTAACTGCATGCTGAATAAGTTTGGAAATAATGCAAAGAAACTACACTACATATGAATATTTATTCTTCACGGTAATGACTGTCACTGTAAAGCTACTAAACACAACAGTAATGCTGTAATAGTGCAATGATATTCAATTGTGGAAGAAAATACCAAATGTGCCCATTAACAGGAAGCTCACTTCACTTTTAAATAGTCAATGATTGTCTCTCAGAAATATGTGCATAAACTAAAACTTCATTTCACGGTTTCCACAAAAAAGAGAAAATGCATTGCAATTACATCAGCAAATTGTTACCCACAATTTAAAATAAAATTATAAAAGGAAACAATTGCTGCATCTGAAAGCTTATGCAACTCTAGGAAAATCTATCTTATTTACCTCATATTTTATAACTGACATTTCTCTCAGCTTCATTAATTTTAGACCATTTCATTAATGATTCCAGGATGTTTTGATTGACATCAATTATTTTAATAAAATAAGACCAAATAGTTACCATTTTGTTCCCACCAAACCTTCAAAAATCAATATATAATATGTACTACCATTCATTCGTAAACAGGAGCATTTATTCACTTCAAATAACATTTACTCACATTTGTGAAGGTATGTCTCCTCATGAAGACTTCAAGAGACCTTGCAAGGTCTTGCAAGATATGAAAAAAATCCTTTAATTTGCCTTTATCTGCCTCTGGAGTAATTCACATAATCCTACACGATCCTCAGATAACTCTGAATTATGATAAGTTAAAAGTTTGGACACACGACTAAATTTGTTGCTTATGATCTTATGAGTGAATGAAAGCAGCCAGCAGGCCTGCAGCACACATGAAACACCTTCAATACTGTTCATTTGCTTGAAGATGCTCCTCGTGAGGGTTTCTGAGAGAAGTGTGCTCAGCTGGACTCTAGACATTATTTAGATCTGTTTAACATTTTCACTACATAACTCTCATGCTTCCTTTTGTGGTATTTCACCGTTTTAATGCCTTTACTAGAATTCCACAATGTGGAAAATATCAATCATAAATAATGAGTAGATATGTCCAAATGTTTTGGCACATACTGTCTGTGTTGGAGCAGTTAAAGGAATAGTTCACCCAAAAGTGAAAACCTGTTCACCCTTAGGCCATCAAAGAAATTGAGCAAAACATCACCCATTAAAAACTGATGGACTGGAGTGGTGTGGATTACTTGTGGATTATTGTGATGTTTTTATCAGCTGTTTGGACTCTCATTCTGACGGCACCCATTCACTGCTGAGCACTGAAACAGTGATGCAATGCTACATTTCTCCAAATCTGATGAAGAAATCAGATCTTCATCAGTTTCAATCAGTAAAGTTTCAGCATTTTCATTTTTGGGTGAACTATTCCTTTAACTTATCCAGTCACTTATCCTTTAACATACATAGTTCTTGAAATCTTTAGGTAAATTAAAACAAAACAAATTAAATAAAGAGGAGTCACATGTCATGTGTTTGTGGTGGATAGCAGGGAGCGGCTCATTACCATCTACCGGACATTATCCATCTATTTTAGTTATCAACTTGGAAACCTCATAACGTCCCTATTTAGTGCACAAACAGCATCAGAATCAAGCAGCAGAGAGTGGGAGTGAGTGTGAGTCTAGGGCATGGACATGGACAGTGCTGAGGCGTCAGTGCTGCGCGGGTCCTTCACACCGATGATCAGGTCATTGGTCCTCCGGGTCCCTTCGACCAGTGAGATGATGTCCACCTTACGCACATCATGACCCTTCTGCATCAGAGACTTCACATCCTCCTCAAGAAACTTAGCTGGACAGAGAACAAGAGAATTAAAGCAGAACAACACCCTCAAAATCACACATCTACAGTCGTACTCTAACAGTACTGCAGGGGTTTTGCTCTGAATTAATTTAAAGAGTCACATATGACACTTTCCACATAGAGAGTACAAAACAGGGCTTGGAATGCAGGAATGCAGTTTTTTTTTTTTTAAGAAATTGCACTTACCATTTACTCAGCTTCTCAATTCAACATTGTATTAGCATTGGTTTTATCCTCTATTGTTATGAGTTTTGCAGCAATGTTACCAACATACAGCATGTGAAAATACAATTTAATAACCTGACTTGTGCTATTTTGCAATTTTCCAAGCATGAAAATGAAACCAACAAAATGCCATATATATATATATATATATATAGGTTTGTAATTGTTGATTAATTCCTATATATTAAATTATATATTTCAGATATTTTTTTACATTTACATTTATGCGTTTAGCAGATGCTTTTATCCAAAGCGACTTGCAGTGCATTCAGGCTATACATTTTTTTTTTACCAGTATGTAAGTTTTTATTAGAATTACTTTGTTACAAGGTTGAATGGTGATGATGACATTACAAATAGTGCATTAATAATAATAAAAAAAAAGATTATTTATTATTTGTCTCTCCTAGAAAGCGTCTAAATGATGCATTTCCTTGTCTCTAAATGTTCAGGATTTTTATTTTTTTTTACATATACACTAATGTTCAAAGGTTTGGAGTTAGTGAGTTTTTTTTTATTAAAACTTTTTTTTAAATTTTTTTATTTTAAGATTAAGATTATTTTAAAATTAATACTTTTATTCAGAAAGGATGCATTAAATGGATTCAAACTGACTAAAGATATATTTCAAATGAATATATTACAACAGAAAACAGTTATTTTAAGTTGTAATAATATATCATTGTTTTTACTGTATTTTTGATCAAATAAATGCAGCCTAGACTTCTTTCGGGTGCATTGGGCATTATTATAAAAAAAAAAGAAAAAGAACAGGCAGTATGCACGATACACTACATTAGAGAAAAGTTTGAAATGAAATCCAGAGGAAACTACGGTAAACGATGGAGAGCTTACAGTCCACCAGCAGGGTGTTGTTCTGGATGAGAGGATGCAGTCTGCCGTAGGACACGCTGTCGCTCATGTTATTACGTGATGACAAAACATTGATCAAAACCTGCAAACACACCAGAATATGTGCTCACTGCTAGAGACTGATGTTGGCAAGCGAATGAGATGTGCTAGAGTCCATGCACACAGCACAGTAAAGACAGCTTGCCTGCGTGATGCCGCTCAGCGCACGCTCGCCGTTAGAGGAGCCCAGCGCCACGTAGCTGCCACACTGCCCCATGGACGGCCTCACCACGATCGGCGTCAGGAACGAGGCCGGCCTCTTGCCCGGCTCAATGCTGTTACGCTGATGAGAACACACAACATGTTACAATCCTGACACGTATCACCTACTGTGGAAAACTGCAACTTTAATAGTAAAAACCTGATGATTTGTTAACGGTAAGTTCCCTTACTCTATACAGCGAAAAACTACAATACAGGAGTGTCCAGTCCTGCTCCTGTTCAGCTTCAACACACTTGCCTAGAAGTCTCCAGCAAAGTCAATGGAAGGCAAGCCTGCAGCGTTTATCCAAAAAAGTGTAACGGCAAACGCTGAATAAACAGCTTTTATTAATCTATAGCCTGTTCACTCATCTTCCAACATGTTTTACACTTTATAAACTACATGATAAAAATTTTATTTTTTAAGAGAAGGCAGAGTATGTCACGACTTTATTACCAGCAAATGTCACATTACTATTTAATAATAGACGTTGCGTAATATTGTGTATTGTATAAAAATATTGATGTTTTCTTTCTTTGGTTTTACCTGAAATTAGACTTGAATTGTATTGACTATTATGACTGCTATGTGCATATTTTTAAAAAGGCATTATTTTTACGGCTTCCAGATGTCAACAAATGAATTAAATTTTTAGTATCAGTGTTATATTTGTGACCCTGGACCACAAAACCAGTCATAAGTGTCAATTTTTCTAAATTTAGATTTATACATCATCTGAAAGCTAAATAAATAAGCTTCCCATTGATGTATGGTTTGTTAGGATCGGACA